CAGATAGAGGTGAAAGTGACTGCAACAATGAGTTATGTCAGAACGGTTTTATACAGACAGCTCATAGTACTTTCTGTACAGATATATATGTATGACTTACCTCTTACAACCACCCCCCCTCCCCACCCCCAACACTTCCCCAGTGAGAAAATCTTACCAGGCCTATAGTATTATAATATCAAATAGGTAACATATTCAGCTTTGTACTTTTGTATAGAAAGCCCGATAGAATCAGAAGTGAAAATATTTCCGTCGTCATAACACCCAAAGGTCATGGACCTCTACACTAAATATCTTTTAGAAGTGGGATTATCTTGGGCGTCATAATAAGACCGCCCGATGATAACCACAGTCTAAACCCTTTAATTTAGTTATTTAAGAACATGATGGATTTCCTGACATTTCTTATACATAAAACTTGATGAATATTTATGACATGAATTCAATGCTGGATATTATTACTGCCGCAAGATATATTTGTGATGTGGTTACACAACAAACAACTCAAAACATCAGATCTAAGGACTGAAGCAGAGTATCAAAATATTAAATGCAAGGATTTTGTTCACTTTTCCCTACAGAAATAAACAGGATGTTTAATAATAGATCTATCCAAATGACAGCTTTAACCAATTGTTTTTGTAAGTTTCCACATAAATTATCCATAGAATGTAGAAAAGAGAAAACTATTTGGAAAAATCAGTTCTACATACTGATGTAATTATCTGACAAATCGTTATAAATACTTACATTGACCATGACATTTGAACCCTGTTTTTACACAGGATTCACAAAAAACAAACATATCCATGGTATCGTGCAAGGTTTGCATTACAACCATAAGCAAATAAAGTAACAAGAATAACGATTTTTTTTTTTTGGATGATAGAGAATGCAACGCTATCCCTGTAAATAAATGGAATAGGTATCATTTCACATGCAGAGAAATCTGCTGAATTTTTTTTTAGAAAAAAATTAACAAAAGTCACATTACAACATAGTTCCTAATTCAGAACCCTTGGTGCTTAGCTGCCACAGCCAAATCTAGCTTGGGCTAGATAGGGACACTAAATGGAATGGATGTGGTGCTTATTATACCTAAAAAAGGCATTTCCCACAATGAGTACTTCAAAGTTCTCTGTGCACACTAGAAGCTATGTGTTCTGAGCCTATTTGTTCTGTTATTTGTACTGAATTGATGAACCCCTATTTGTTTGATTTACCCAGATTTATCTAGAAATACCATGATATTTACATTATTGTATTACTCAACATGCGTATCAGGATGTTGTGAAGTTGAAAGTTCCTGAATGCATGCAGGAAAAGTACCTGTTAATACACATCTGCTTTCAATGATTCATTTTACTATTATTAATACACACAGAAATGGGACTATGTAACAAACACTAAAGACAGAATATATTAGTAACCTCCCTCCACATAAATAAACAGACCTGACTAGGAATAAACAGGCCAAATAGTCAACAGCTGAGGGTAAACAAATGTCAAGGACAAAACTAGTGGAAAATTTGTTTATAAAATTAGACGGGGAAAAAAGGTTACAAAGTTGAAAGAAAATTTTATTGAAGTATGGCATAATTTCTTTTTCTTCTATTTGCACTATATTTGCAAAGACGAAAAAATAATAAATATTAGATTTAATTTAAATCAAGTCTCGTCAGATTTTGATTTGATCTAAACTTTGTAAACAAGTTAAGGTCATTAGCACTAGGCAATAGTGAGCCATCTCACAAAATTTGATAAAACAAATGTGGAAAGATGTAAGGGTTTTTGATGAATTTAGAACAACCTAAGGAAGGTCAGACATTGTTGTTTACACTTTTGAAATTGTATTTTGAAGAACTGTCTCATTACGACAGTAAGTCTATTGAATTTGCTAAAAACCGATTCCTAACAACCAAAACAGAAAATCAGTTACCATAAATGATCCAACATGTACACTGCTCCTATATCGATATCCCATCCTTTCCTCTTTGAAAGACGATGGTTGCTTTTTATTAAGGCCTCTGAAAGGGATGCAATGTCTCATTGATCTACCAATACGACACGCAAGTCTTTCGACTATTTGCTCCGATCCAATAAACATAGTCACTAAGTCATATGTAGCTTGGTTCTACCACTTTATTTCAACTTAATATTTAACTTTGTTTTCTGTTATCAATCAATGGTAAGGTTTCATGTGATGGTTTGATCTATCTCATCTCACTTTAAAGATCATTGGTTAACCAAGTAATGCTTGTCTTCAATGTCTACTACATCCAATTATAAAAAATCTCTAATAAAATTTTATATCAAAATAGTGATAAAAGCAGCTGATGTTGTGAATGTAACTGCTTTTTTTATTTCTAAAAAAAAAACAAGCTAATGGAACTATTTCGAGCCAAATTAAAAAAAAAAAAAAAAAGGGAAAAAATCCCACACATTTTTTTTTCAAACAAACTCTCCAATCTATTTTATGAAGTATAATTTTTGTAAGGATCAACATTTTGTTTTTATATGTAAATGGTATGTATTGGTGAGATACTTAACTTTGAGTTATATTTTTCTACACTCTTGATGTGTTTTTTTCTTAGCAGGATTCCCTTACTAGGATCAATACATCCTTATATTACAATCCCTAAAGATTCATCAACTGTTCATTCTCATTCCTAACCAGAATTTACATTTTCATTCCTAACCAGAATATAATTTCTTCAATATCGATCTTTTATCTACTTTTTACTACTGTCTATTTCCTAAAACCACAACCATGGTGGTTCTAATTCTTATATCCTTATGGAAGATATGATCCGACATTTATCTGAATCAGATCAAATTTAAACTTTTTTTTTAACCACACAAAGTTTATTCTGAAATAGGACAATGAAAGCTTCATGTTGCGTTTGTAACTTCTGTTGAACTATATATTAGTAACAAAAGTGCCTATTTATATAACATGCAACAATATTCATTTGAACTGATTTCCATAAAACACCAGAATACAGTGTCTGGAAGTGTCTCACTGGTAAATGTGCAGCTTCCCCTGTTAAGGCTTAATGGCTAACAAATCAAATTTAATTTCCAGAAGCAAATTAACTAGATTCTGCAAGAAAATTTCAAGTGCTTTTTTCATTATACTATATGCTTACAGTTTTAGTCACTTTTAGTCTTGGGTCAATATGCACCCAGTTTTAGTCACTTTTAGTCTTGGGTCAATATGCCCTTAGTTTTAGTCACTTTTAGTCTTGGGTCAATATGCACCCAGTCTTAGTCACTTTTAGTTTTGGGTCAATTTTCCCACAGTTTTAGTCACTTTTAGTTTTGGGTCAATTTGCCTAAAGTTTTAGTGACTTTTAGTCTTGGGTCAATATGTCCACATTTTTTGTCATTTTTAGTCTTGGGTCAATATGCCTACAGTTTTAGTCACTTTTAGGCTTGGGTCAATATGCCTACAGTTTTAGTCACTTTTAGTCCTTGGTCAATATGCACCCAGTCTTTGTCACTTTTAGTTTTGGGTCAATATGCCCTCAGTTTTAGTCACTTTTAGTCTTGGGTCAATATGTCCACGGTTTTAGTCACTTTTAGTCTTGGGTCAATATGCACCCAGTCTTAGTCACTTTTAGTTTTGGGTCAATATGCCCTCAGTTTTAGTCACCTTTATTCTTGGGTCAATAAGCCTACAGTTTTAGTGACTTTTAGTTTTGGGTCAATATACCTACAGTTTTAGTCTCTTTTTTTTAGTTTTGGGTCAATATACACAAAGATTAAGTCACTTTTAGTCTTGGGTCAATATGCCTACAGTTTTAGTCACTTTTAGTCTTGGGTTAATATACCTACAGTTTTAGTGACTTTTAGTTTTGGGTCAATATACCTACAGTTTTAGTCTCTTTTTTTAGTTTTGGGTCAATATACACAAAGATTAAGTCACTTTTAGTCTTGGGTCAATATGCCTACAGTTTTAGTCACTTTTAGTCTTGGGTTAATATACCTACAGTTTTAGTCACTTTTAGTCTTGGGTCAATATACCCACATTTTTAGTCACTTGTAGTCTTGGGTCAATATGCCTACAGTTTTAGTCTCTTTTAGTTTTGGGTCAATATGTCTACAGGTTTAGTCTCTTTTAGTTTTGGGTCAATATACACAAAGATTAAGTCACTTTTAGTCTTGGGTCAATATGCCTACAGTTTTAGTCACTTTTAGTCTTGGGTCAATATGTCTACAGTTTTAGTCTCTTTTAGTTTTGGGTCAATATGTCTACAGTTTTAGTCACTTTTAGTTTTGGGTCAATATACACAAAGATTAAGTCACTTTTAGTCTTGGGTCAATATGCCTACAGTTTTAGTCTCTTTTAGTCTTGGGTCAATATGTCTACAGTTTTAGTCTCTTTTAGTCTTGGGTCAATATGCCTACAGTTTTAGTTACTTTTAGTCTTGGGTCAATATGCACAAAGTTTTAGTCACTTTAGTCTTGGGTCAATATGTCTACAGTTTTAGTCTCTTTTAGTCTTGGGTCAATATGCCTACAGTTTTAGTCACTTTTAGTCTTTGGTCAATATGCCTACAGTTTTAGCCACTTTTAGCCTTTGGTTCATATGCGTACAGTTTCAATCATTTTAGTCTTGGGGTCAATAAGCTTACAGTTTCAGTCAAATTAAATCTAAAAGCAGTTTTCCCTTATGTTGATTTTTTCCCACTCCATTTTTAATCAACATATGACACTTAGATATCTTTGCCTTAAAATAAGCTATAGAAAGAACTTTTCACAAAAGAAATACAAACTTTGGTATGCCAACCCAGTACCAAGCAACCCAATTTTATTTATAAATTTTCACTTATTTGTTATACTGGTTCACAGGTATCAACAGAAAAAATATGGTACCTGTACCAGTCTGCTTCATAAAACTATAATGGATTAGGTCGGTAGGGAGAAGGTAAACAAGCATGTTGGGGACAACAACATTAGTGTTCACTCACGGCAGATCACCACTGATTATACATTACCTCATCCACATGTAGGGGTGCCGCACATTCTTAGTCTGGACACTGTACAGAAATATTTCTTAATCAATATAAGAAAAACATTGCCAAGATAACAGCTTAAAGCTTTCATATATCAAACAAACAATGACATGTCAATTTCATTCCAGTAAAGAAGATAGAGCTTTCTTCATGCCCTAATAATGAAATGTTATACATCAGATCAAGTTTTCCATGTTATCTAAGGACAGACATAATGAATATTTGAAGGATGACTATTTTCTATATTTTGACAAATGTTCACAAACTGCTTATCTCCTTTCCTCCCATAAACACATGGATACAAGATCTGCCTACGCAGTCAGAGCCTTAATCTTCAATCATAAAAACTGAAGCTCACATTTTGTAATCAAATGACCCCAAATGAAAACAAACCTGATGATAAAATATAACATTTAAACAACAACACTTGAAAGCACAATTTTACTTAGTAGTTTTGCCTTTAGTCTAACCAGGTGTAAGTTACTAATTATAAGCTCATGAGTAGAATTTTGTCCTGAAATCTACACTGTGACACACAAGCGAATTCTTTTCAGCAAGTATATTCTTGCTGCAAAACAAAACTTTGTGACTAGCAAAATATTTTGTAAAGTTCAATATCTTATACCAGTAAGTACAAAATCACAACATAAACTATTTACATCATATTCTACCTACATTAAACCACACGACACAATTTACTGTGATATCTATCTGAATTTGAAGTTTTATGCCACACCTGCCTCATTTTCTAAGGCTGCATGAGTTAGTGCCCCTTCTCTCCGACTAAGATTTCACTATTCAGATAGAGTTGTTTCCCTTTAGCCACCAACACATCACACAGCTGTTTGGAACAGCTTTTATTTTTTTAAGTAATAGAGCTCATATTCAGGTGTCTTTCATTTGTCGTTTCTGAAAAATTGAAGGCATCCTATATCAACATGCTGTGCATTGTAACTCTATCAAGGTCCCACTAAAATTACCCTACACATCATCACCACTTAGATTGGGTTATGTGTATATTCATCAACTTTCCTTTCATCAGCTCAGAGGGATCAAGTCAAATATCACAAAACTGTATGTTGTAAATTCTACCTTGAAATTTCTCAGAAAGTGGATGATCATTTTAAGAGGGCATCATTACATATCAGATTGTATTAAATATTTTTTGAGACCAATAAGAGGATTGATAAAATGTTTACAATAAAGAGGTTTGTGTTAGTGTAGACATTTTCACTCAGTTTCCAAAGTTAAAAAGTAATTCAAATGAGTCCAAATGCATTACTAGCATTTCAATTTTCTATAGACAATTTTCTATCAAGTCATCAAGACAACAGACAATTTTCTATCAAGTCATCAAGACAACAGATAATTTTCTATCAAGTCATCAAGACAATAGACAATTTTCTATCAAGAAATCAAGACAACAGACAATTTTCTATCAAGTCATCAAGACAACAGACAATTTTCTATCTAGTCATCAAGACAACAGACAATTTTCTATCAAGTCATCAAGACAATAGACAATTTTCTATCACATCAAACTCATAAAAAAAATGGAAAAATGTTCTTCTTACTGTCAAAATTTGGTTTTAAATGAAAATCATTACATCATACAAATCACTACATTCATTTCATATTGCATTTTTGAAAGATTAGTTTAACAAAACAGGTTGTTTTTGGCTACAAGGAAATATTTTGTCTTGTCAAGTTCTACAGCTGATATTTCAATAGAAAGTCATGACTTCACATATGACAAGTGCATGCAACACAAGTTTATCCTCACATGAATTTCAAATGATTTTTCTGATCACCTCACATTCAATGTCATCTACTCTAAGAACTCTACATGTAAGATCATGGAAGGATATTAAATCTGGTAAAGTGACAATCAGTGTAAACTTTCTGAGTGTTTTTTCACAATATCTATCTCGCCATCACAAACAAATAAGCCAGCATTGTAAAACTGACAACCTCTCAAGACAGCCTGATCACAATTAACAATGAAAACAAAATCACAAGACAACACAACCAATTAACAGTGTCTACAAAACCTCAAGACAACCTGACCAATCATTTGTGTATTATGGTAGACTGTAAGTCATGATGAAGTAGTTGATTTTTAGAAGAGTTGTTTCCCTTCCATTAACAGGAAGGAGCTTATGTGGTGTGTACAGACTAAAGAGGAAATAGAATTATTAAATATTCATTACAAAGAAAATGTTCACAAAAGTCTTTGTACAACAAAGGAGATATCTCAATTAAACATATAGATTGAAGTGTATTTGGTCAATATCACTAAAATATTTAAACAACACATTAATTCTTCTGGGTTAAATAGTTATGTCAAATTATTCCTAAACTTTATGATTGAATAAATGTTCAACACTCTAATTGTTATTTAAGACTCTTTTTCTGAATTCTATTGAAGAGTTTTTCTGTCTTGAAATAATAAGAATTGCATATTAGGTCTGTTCCCAGTGAAGTTTATCTACTTGACAAGCACAACTGTATAGAAGTAAATAGTCCCATTCGAAACAAATTTTCACTTAGACGTAGTATAGCAAAAATATTAAATGAAATGCATCACACCACTTCTTTGCCCATCAGGCCTTGATTTTAAGTGATTTTTAAATCTGTTTAATACTAAAATATTCATGGAAATCAATAACACTTGAAAACTAATAACACAGATAAACTATTTGATTATCCATTAGTATATGTTCACTGACTGATCACAATATTTCAAACTGATTGCTAGGTTTATATCATCATACAAACAACCAGGTTTTGAGGCAGTTTCCTTAGTTTGAGTATTAACTGCTACCTCAGTCACCAAACATCAGATACACATTCAAATGTTAAGTGTCATTGCCCAATGTCATAATCATGACAGCACAAGATAGTCCATGATTTCAGCTTCCTGAGACACAAAATACCTGGGTGAAGAATAAAACTACACACCTGAGGTTGTATAATTAACCGGGTGACTCCATTGACAGGGTTAACATATTGCCAGTTTTAAAATGTAAAACCACTGTGTAAAAAGGACTAATGTTTCTAAACAGTGCTGTTTCAACCAGAAATATTTGACCACACAGAAAGGGACACATCGAACAGTCACCTAGATGTTGAATTATGCAGTAGCAGTATAAACTGTAATAAGGTCCAAAAGACATCTGCTGTATATAACATATACCTACTGTACATCTACCTACTGTATATACCATATACCTACTGTACATCTACCTACTGTACATACCATATACCTACTGTATACATACTGTACATACCATATACCTACTGCATATACCATATACATACTGTACATACCATATACCTACTGTATATACCAGATACATAATGTACATACCATATACCTACTGTATACATACTGTATATACCATATACATACTGTACATACCATATACCTACAGTATACATACTGAATATACCATATACCTACTGTACATACCATATACATAATGTACATACCATATACCTACTGTATACATACTGTACATACCATATACCTACTGTATACATACTGTACATACCATATACCTACTGTATATATACCATATACATACTGTACATACCATATACCTACAGTATACATACTGTATATACCATATACCTACTGTATACATACTGTATATATCATATACATAATGTACATACCATATACCTACTGTATACATACTGTATATACCATATACCTACTGTACATACCATATACCTACTGTACATACCATATACATACTGTACATACCATATACCTACTGTATACATACTGTATATACCATATACCTACTGTACATACCATATACCTACTGTACATCTACCTACTGTATACACCATATACCTACTGTATACATACTGTATATACCATATACCTACTGTACATACCAAATACCTACTGTACATACCATATACCTACTGTACATACCATATACATACTGTACATACCATATACCTACTGTACATACCATATACATACTGTACATACCATATACCTACTGTATACATACTGTATATACCATATACCTACTGTACATACCATATACCTACTGTACATACCATATACCTACTGTATACATAATGTACATACCATATACCTACTGTATACATACTGTATATACCATATACCTACTGTGCATACCAAATACCTACTGTACATACCATATACCTACTGTATACATACTGTATATACCATATACCTACTGTACATACCAAATACCTACTGTACATACCATATACCTACTGTACATACCAAATACCTACTGTATACATACTGTACATACCATATACCTACTGTATACATACTGTATATACCATATACCTACTGTATACATACTGTACATACCATATACCTACTGTATACATAATGTACATACCATATACCTACTGTATACATACTGTATATACCATATACCTACTGTATACATACTGTACATACCATATACCTACTGTATACATACTGTATATACCATATACCTACTGTATACATACTGTACATACCATATACCTACTGTATACATAATGTACATACCATATACCTACTGTATACATACTGTATATACCATATACCTACTGTATACATACTGTACATACCATATACCTACTGTATACATACTGTACATACCATATACCTACTGTATACATACTGTATATACCATATACCTACTGTATACATACTGTACATACCATATACCTACTGTATACATAATGTACATACCATATACCTACTGTATACATACTGTATATACCATATACCTACTGTACATACCAAATACCTACTGTACATACCATATACCTACTGTACATACCAAATACCTACTGTACATACCATATACCTACTGTACATACCATATACCTACTGTACATACCAAATACCTACTGTACATACCATATACCTACTGTACATACCATATACCTACTGTACATACCATATACCTACTGTACATACCATATACCTACTGTACATACCAAATACCTACTGTACATACCATATACCTACTGTACAT